CACACACACACACACACACACACACACACACAGGTACTGGATTGGAGGATTTGGGATTCCATCCATTGTGAATGTTTGCTTCCTGAACTGCCTTGACAGATTTTCTTGTACAAGTTTTATTATTTTTATTATAGTTCATTCTTAACTGTATGCCACCCTGAATTGCTTTATAGTTTTTATAAAGTTTTTAAAGCTTTTTTTTAAAGCTTTTATAGTTTTATAGCTTTATAGTTCATTTTTAACTATATGCCACCCTAAATTGACTAAGTCAATGAGTTCACCACTCCATTGATTCAGATAAAGGGATTATTTACTTTCTCTTCTCAAGGTGAGACCCTGAAGACCTTGAAAAGAAACCTTGACTTAGAGCTTGATAAATAAAGTACAGCATTTAATAATTTACTACAAGCCAAGACTCTATTTGTACATGGTAGGATTAAATTAGATTAAGTAACCCTTTGCTGTGGCACGCTACTTTTGTAAAGGCACTGATGAACTGTCAGTGCAGAGTTAAGCAAGTGTGCTGCACTCCTCTGAGGTGCTTGCCAAGCATGTCGAACCATCGAACACTCCTGTATTGGTATGGTTATGACTTGGGATCAGGTTGTGAGGAGTTTTATGATGTTAAGGTCCAAAACAGGGCACTTAAGGCGAGCAGAAACAAAAACTGCACACTTTCTTAAGCAGAAAATGCCAGTGGGCGTCAACATATTTGAACATTAAAAAAGCATGACTTATTAATTCACTTCATAATATAGCAAGCATACATCCACTGCTGAAAGCATGCTGAAAATATGCAAAATATTTAATGTTTAAGAAAGCTCTGTGATGCCACTGGAAAGGACTATAACAATATTATTATATGGGATGGGATTTTCCTGAGGCAACTAGTGAGCATAGAATGATTAGAGCAGCTTGTTTCATCTAAGATTATGAGACCTTCTATCAATTTTGCATTCTAGGAAAACACAGTTCAATAGGTTATTTGTCTCTATTGTGGATTGTACAGATGGCTTTAAGCTATATTCCTACCTGTTAAATGGTTTAGTCTGATCTAATATGAAAATATACATTACTTTAATTCCTGTCCAATACTGAAGGATCACTCTTAGGTAACCTCATATTTTTGACTCAAGAACATAGAGTCTTCTGAAGATAAATGAAGAAAATGAGTGCTTTTCTAAGGCCATGTTCTATAATGGAGATCATTTGAAACGTTCTAGTCTTAATAAGTATCACAGAAGCAAACTTATTTCTTAACAATGTAATATAATGTTTAACTTATATAAAATATGACAAAGAAAAAAAAAGACCATAGCAATTTCCTGATGACTTTGGACTTAAAATTCACATGATCTTGGGCTGCTCAATGACTTAAACTGTAAATGTTTAATGATAAGCAGAATTCAAAATTCCATATATGCTGAACTTTCCCATTATTCCTATATATGAACGAATCTGGCCATGTAAGAATGACAATTCTTTCATAATATAGAGCCAATTCTACAGAAAAGAATCAGAACTGTATTTTGCCATATAAATTAGCTGTAGGGACTTCACACTTATGGCATGTACATGCTTAAGTATCACATATGTTTTATTTTCCCTTACAAATAAAAAGGTGGACACATTTTGCCACATCTGACTCAGGTTACCAGATATCTGTCCCTCCTAAAAGATAGGGTAGATGACACAACAATAGAACCCACACCAACTCTGCATTTCATATTCATTGCAGCTGTTGGTTCTTGAGGAGCACTTTAAAGATGTTACAAAGATCAGGCTATTGCAGACAGTTTTAAAGTCTCAATTCAAGGCGGCTATCTTACAAACATTGACCTGAAGACTGATCCCACTAAAATCAAGGGACTTCTTGTTGAGTAATATGTAAGTTTGCTTACAGACTACAAATGATACTTTTTCACCAGGAGGCAGAAAAGAAATATGAATCTCAGTGTTACTTTTAATAGTGTGTGCACATGCTCTCTATCAGTGCTTATATTCATCCAAATATATACAGTATATATAACTAAGTAAGGGCCAAATAAAACTGCCTGAGCACACCAAGATGTGTATACAGGAGAAGCCATTAAATTCAGTGTTTAGGTCAAACTTAATGAGCAAAAAATGAACCTGAGTTTGCTTACAATGTTGACATAGTTAGTAAAGCCCGATCAAAGACTGAATGACATAGATTTCATTCCAAAGATATACCTTTTCTTTCTGCAACAACACCATTGGGAAAGGCTTGTCTATAATCTCAGCTGCAACTCAGCATTCAGCATTCTTTGGCACATACCATACATTAAATCAGAGCAGGTGCGCTGTGCATTCATCTTTTTCCAATGCCCATTACTCGACCTACCTCTGTCAGCTCCCAGGTGATACTAATAGTCCAACACAATCCATAGCTGCGGATCAACAAAGCCTTCATTGCCCAGCCCCAGAAATGTCCAAAAGCAAATATGTCAAAATGACTTAGGATTCGTTCCCAGGTAATAACATGGCAATTCACAGCATATTCCTGTTGATGATTACAGGGAAAGGATGTAGAGAAAAGAAACAAATAAGGCAATAGAAGCTGAAATCTCTTCTGGAATAATTTTAGATGAAATAAAATTGTACTCTAATAAAATACAGAATTAAAATACTTTTTTTTCTGTAACTCAGTCTTGTTCAGAAGTTAAACTATATATTTGGATAACAGTCATGGACTATTAGACAAGACTGGCTAAGATGCTTCTTCACACAATATTAACTGACACATTTGCTCACTAAATAGAAACATGCCCTTAAAAGAAAAGCTTGAGGGTTAATCCAAATAATTTTGGATATGACTAACAAAATTTACAGCAAGATAAACTAGATTCTGCACCAAAAGCAGTTATTCTTATTCTTGGATAAGATTAGGTTGCAAGTCAACCCTGCCAAGGCTGAGCGGCTATGAGTTCTGAGTCCCCTGGATCCAGGAACTAGAGAGTTTCTATCTTTGGTTCTGGACGGAGTGGTGCTGCCCCGTTCAGACTTGGTGTGCAATCTGGGGGTCCTCCTGGACTCACAGCTCCTACTCAAAGCTCTTGGAGGTAGCAGCTATAGCCAGGGGGACCTTTTCACAACTGCATCTTGTGCACCAGCTATGCCTATTCCTGAACCAGGAGGCTTGCTTATAGTCACTCTTGCCTTAATCATCTCCTGATTGGACAATTGCAATGCACTTTATATGGAGCTGTCCCTAAAGACCATCCAGAAGGCAATGGCACAGGTAATTATGGGCACAGCTTGCTACACCCATGTGACACTGCTACTCCATGAACTGCACTGGTTCCCAAAAGGCTTCTGGGTGTGATTCAAGGTGCTAATCACCTTTTCAGCCCTACATGGCATAGGACCAGGTTACTTGCAGGACCACCTGCTCCCAAGAACTTCTGCCCAGTCCAGATGCTCCCATAGGGAGGGCATGCTCCATGCTCCCTCATTTTAGCATTGCCATTTTATGGGACCTAAGAAGCATGCCTTCTCAGTGGTTGCCCTTGTTCTCTAGAATGATCTCCCCTTTGAGATACGACAGGCCCCAACTCTGCTCACCTTTAGAAAAGCTGTTAAGATCTGGTGTTTGGGTCCAGTTGAGTGGAGTCCCCTTCTGGTTGTTTAATTATTCCATCTAGTCACTATTTTACATTTTATATATTGGAGTGTTTTTTTAACATTGTATGGGTTTTTTTTTTTCTGTTTGCTTATTGTACGCAACTCAGAGTTATACTTTTAAGTTGGGCAGCCCTGTAAATCAAATCAAATAAACAAGCACCAAACTGGCTACAATAAATGTCTTTTTTTCCTGTTATCAGGATGGCAGTCTTTAAACAAACAAACAAACAAAAAAGGAATTGAAGCTGCAGCTACCAGGAGTCTGGCTTCCAGTGGAATGCTGCTACTAGGGCTTAGCAAAGATGGGCAAGAGGTTCCCTTCAAACCTGCTGCCTGAAGCACTAAGATGCCTGGTTCTCTTGAAGGGTGGGGGCAGCTGCTTCAAAGGCCATCCCAATCATCTGTGCACTCCTACAGATGCAAAGAAGATGGAACTGCTGCCACAGAAAGCCACAGTGGAACGATGAGAAGATGCAACACTTCAATACTTGAAGAAGTAGGTTCAGAGGGGTGCTTCACTCACCCGCCAAAAGCCTTAGTTATTACATTTATTAGACACAGCATGACTTCAACTCTACAATCTATCTCTCTCCATCAAAAAAACAAAAAAAGCCAACCTCATTTTGGTTTTGGAGAAAGAGGAAATATTTAGCTCGGCCCTCTGAATATGCTCCTAAGTTCCTGTTTGCTCTGATTTTAGTTATTCTTTCTGGTATCCCTTTACATGAAAACAATACCACTGAATGTCTAGACCAGTGTTTATCAACCTTGGCAATTTTACGATGGTTGACCTAAACCCCCCGGAATCCCCCAGCGGGGGGGGGAATTTTGGGATTTAAAGTCCATATATGGTAAAGTTGCCAAGGTTGACAAACACTGGTCTAGACATTCAGTGGTATTGTTTTCATGTAAAGGGATACCAGAAAGAATAACTAAAATCAGAGCAAACAGGAACTTAGGAGCATATTCAGAGGGCCGAGCTAAATATTTCCTCTTTCTCCAAAACCAAAATGAGGTTGGCTTTTTTTGTTTTTTTGATGGAGAGAGATAGATTGTAGAGTTGAAGTCATGC